GTTGAAGCTGGGCTCAAAATAATGAATGGATTGAGCTGGCATTTGGTGGAGGATGGTTATTTGGGCATAGGAAAGCACTGTAGAAAATGGATACCATTTGGACATGCCAAAGTGGTACTTCCTTCACAAAGTGCTGCTTTGAACAGGATAGGAAAATGAATATTGTTGAGTTATTTTTGAACTATGCAAGGAAGGTTTTTGACATATTTGATGAAGATATGATCCAAACAATTTATGAGAATTTTTTTGGGAATTTTTGGAATAACAGAAATATAGATAGCTTCACAACCTAGGGCAAAAATTGACACATGGACATGACACATAGGCAAAACTAATGAGATGGCGCCTAGTCATCACAACCCACCACAATCTACAAGGCTATGACCATCTATATTGGTCGTTAACAAACTAGAAATAAGGCAGCGGACCTGCACTGTTTGCTTTTTGACCATTTCGTGTAAGGAAATTACGACCTTTCTGACCAAAATGGTCGCAATGGTTTAGGGTTTGGAGCCCCCCGATTAGCTTTTGACCAATTGGTCTCAAATGGTCATAGATCTATGACCAATTCTTCCAGGGTCACTAACAGAAGGTCACTAGTTGAGATATTTCTTGTAGTGTCTCTGAATTGTAATATCTGTCCAATACACGATGTGATCAATTCTGAAATTCTGCAAGCTGTTTAATAATTTCGTCAATTTAAGAAAAGCAGTACTGCAGTGCTTTATTGAATTTTTGTAGATCGAACTTGTTGGTTTTTGTCTTAGTTTAGAACGAACGCACTGGTAGATTGGAATTGAGCAGAGTGGTCACTCCCCTAAATTATCTGTCTGATACACGACGCAATCAGTTCTGAAATCGTGCTAGTTGTTGTCTTTGTCAGTTTAACAAAAACAAATAGTATTGCAGTAAACTTGTTGGTTCCAGTCTGTTATTTAGATTGAATGCAGTAAATAGTTTGGAATTGAACAAGGTTGTCGCTCTCGTAGGTTATCATTCGAATACATGATGCATATCAGCTCTGAACTCGTGTTATTGTTTAGTTTCACCAGCTTAACTATCTGCATCACATGCCACTTATTTGGAATCAATGTCAACAATAGTTTGTTCAGCGCTATATTATATTATCATGCCACTTATTTTTACTACCTGAAGGGGTTAAGTACAACAGTTTTGGGTTTTTACAGTTTCAAGGGCTTTAGAGTCCCACCTTTCTTTATTATCTAATCATGTTATAACAAGCATGCTCTGAAGTCTAGGTAATCATACGAATGCTTGGGTTATTACTCAAGGACGCCGAACACTATTTCCGGTTAAGATAAAATGTTAAATGCAGAATTATCGATCTTCCTTAGTGGATGCCCATGGTATGATCATGTGTTAGTTCCTATCAAAGCAAGTGCTGAGTTATGTTCCATTTTTTCTATTCTGTGTGATAGTTCTTGCATTTTACTACGTTCCCTCTTAAGGCGGGCCACCCTTTTACACTAATAGCGAGTTTGGTGCACATTAATCTAGAAAATAGAAGTTCAGAACCTGCACCTCTAACTCTCTGTCGATGATCAACAAGCTCATTCTTTGGCAATTTTCATTCACTTGCATGTGTTCCCTTGAAGATCAGTGTTATGTCTTAAATTTTATTTCTTACTCACTTTGCTAATGCAGCATGTCCCTAAAACAAATGGAGACATTCCTTCTTTTGATGAAGCCTTTTCAGATCACCGAAGACTTCTCGACAAGTTCGTGCTGTATGGCGTGGTTGAGCTCAAGGTTAACGGAGACGACAATTGTCAGTTCTACCTACCAGATTCAGTTTTCTGTTTACTTTTTGAGAATAGTATATTTAGTATTATTAGTACAGACCTGCTCTATAAGTACTTATCTCTTTCTGGATCTTCCTTTTAAGCAGTTTCGGGCATTGTCTGATCAATTTTACCGAACTCCTGAACACCATAGATTTGTGCGACAACAGGTGGTCAATCAGGTTAGTATTGTGAATTCAGGCATTCCATCCCCTCTCATAGTAAATTCAATGTTATTGGAACACTGATACCCTTGCATAAACATCGATGCAGCACAGACGTATGCTCCTTGTCCTTTTCACTGATTGTCTTTTTCATCGACATGCACCGCATTATTTTTTCGTGTTCTTCTGAAGAATCTGAAGTTTCTCAACCTCTGTTGGTAATGCTGCAGGGTTCTGGTGGCGATGCCGACGGTCGTCGAGAGGTTCGTGGACTGGGCGGTGTTGTGGCTGCCGGTGTACGGAGAGGTCAAGCTGCTGCTCGTCATCTACCTCTGGCAACCTAGCACATGGGTAAGCAGTCGATCAGACACCCCGAGCCCGAGAGATGATCATCATTTCAAATAGACTTGATTCGGTATGTGGCCAATTCTAAATCTAAATCTTAATGGTGTTGGGATTTCAAGGTGTGGGGCACGTGTACGATGGCTTCCTCCATCCGCTGGTGGCGTGGCGCGAGGACGACATTGACCGGGGCCTACTTGAGCTGAGGGCTAGGGCGAGGGATGTGACGACGTCAACTCAAGGCGGCGGTTGCCATCGGACAAGTGTGGCTCGTCGAGGCTGCTCGCTGTGTTCGTCACAGCTACAGGCCGCGAGATCAGGTCGGGAAGGCTCCGCGCATTGATGAGTGAGGCAATTTTCGGACTAGACCATAACAACGTGTTTCAGTCTCCGACGTCTAGAAGTAGTGGTAAAGTTTTGAATTTTCATGGCAAGAACCACTTACGTAGGTAGCTGACACGCACGACAGTGTGTTTACGCTCTTACTTATGTAAAAGATATGAATTATGCATGAGTTGCCTCCACAATGAGGAACTCTGATAGTAGATGTGGCAATTATGTGAGAGAACGAAATTGATTGATTTTATTTTATTTAATTTCCAATAAGGTAGTAGTAGCGCGGGAACAAATAACTCACTACTAGTATTTAGTATACTAGTAGCGTTGGTATTATAGACATGCTACTACTAACTATTAGTTGTAGCGCGATAGTAGTAGCGCGGGTACCCATGCTGCTAGTAGCCATTTTACCCACGCTGCTAGTAGCCTATTTCCTAGTAGTGAACATGTGGTGCACATCGAAAGTACTACTAGTCCAAACTAGATCAAGTTTGGATTAGTAGTATACTTTTGACATGCACCACATGTTGC